AGACTTTCGTTGAACTTCTACGTACCTGATATTGAACTTCCGCCTATCATTAGTTTTCTATCAAACTTTAGCTGACGTCGAACTTCTGCCCGTTGCTAAACTTCTGTCAATCGCTGGACTTCCACCCATCTTCGGAGCCATGCCCATCGCCGAACTTCCATCTAACTTCTATCCAACATCAAACTTTGTCCATTTTTGAACTTCTGTATGACGTCGGACTTTTGCCAATCGTCAGACTTCTAACCTCCGTCGCCAGCCGATTATAGTCCTTCCCACCTTTTTCACCAGACAACAGTCTTTGTGACCACTAAGCTTATTGATTATGGTCTTCCCAACCTTCGTCGTTAGATAACGATCTTCCTGGCCACTATCACTTGTTGACTATAGTTCTACTGACCAAACAAACATATCAACAGTGATTCTTTCATGTTTCATCATGTACTGCACTTTATATGATGTATATTTATTACATCAAGCCAAGGCCTTCCCCTAAGAAAGGTCCTGATTTGTAATCGACTACAAATAATAGTGGATTCATTCAAACTGGGTCAGGCTCCGCAGGTTTTCCTTTTATAGGATTTTCTACGTAAAAATTTTGATGTCTCTTATAAATGCTACACCTTCTCTTTTATCTGATTCCATGTTGGATCTTCGTATAAAACTAAGATGCTAAATTTTATATTTTTCTACTTCCGTGAATATTCTAGGACAAACCAATATTAGAACATTAATTATTTATTGCACACACAAATTAAATTTACAATTAAGATTTCCCAATAAAAACAATTACAATTAGTCGGAGCAATGCCCATCATCGAACTTCCATCTGACTTTCATCTAACATCAAACTTCTGTCCATCTTTGAACTTCTGTATGACGTCGAACTTTTGACCTCTGTCGTCAGTCGATTACAGTCCTTCCCACCTTTTTCACCAGATAACAGTCTTTGTGACCACTGTCGCTCAATGACAATGGTCTTTCCAACCTCCGTTGTTAGATAACGATCTTTCTGGCCACTATATCACTTGTTGACTATAGTTATATTGACCAAACAAACATATAAATAGTGATTCGTTCAAGTTTCATCATGTAATGCACTTTATATGATGTATATTTATTACATCAAGCCAAGTCCTTCTCCTAAGAAAGGTCCTGATTTGTAATCGACTACAAATAATAGTTGATTCATTCAAACTGGGCCAGGCTCCGCAGGTTTTCCTTTTTTAGGATTTTCAAAATTTTGATATCTTTTATAAATGCTACACCTTCTCTTTTATCTGATTCCATGCTGGATCTTCGTATAAAACTAAGATGCTAAATTTTATATTTTTATACTGCCGTGAATATTCTAAGACAAACCAATATTAGAACATTAATTATTTATTGCACACACAAATTAAATTTACAATTAAGATTTCCCAATAAAAACAATTACAATTAAGTTTTTTTTTTTTAAACCAAAGTAAAAAATAAATTTATTAAGAAAATATTATTCACATTCACATTGGCGATATGAATGATTAATTTAGAATAAGTCTTATCTACAAAGAAAATATCTATTAAGAAAAATCCAAAGAGAGTTGTTCCCCTGTCCACTTCATATCAGTACTTGCCTCTGCAGGAAAGCCGATTCATCTGGAAGACAGGGACCGAAAAATTAAGAAACACGATGCTACGAAATGTTCTTATCAACAGGAAGGTGTGGGCCCCGCTTCTCTCTCTCTCTCTGTTTTTTTTTTTATATGTACATAATCATTAAAAAATAGAAAATATGACCTAGTTAATGAGAAATTATTATGTACGCAGTCCGAACACATAATTGGGTTCGGATGCTGCGTATTTACTGCTTATTATACTGCGTATTTTTTGATACATTATGTTTTCTACGTATTTTTTGCGTATTAATTGTGTATTTAGTGAGTATTATTTATGTGTTATTTTTTTACACGAAAAAATTTGATATCAAAAAATACGCAACACAATAAGCAGTAAATACGCAGCATCCGAACGCGTTCGGATTACGTACAGAATAATTTCTCCTAGCTAATAGATACAAGAGATCTTATGTGATGTGTCTATAAATTTGTCTTAATTGATTCAAAAATCTAAAAAAAAAAACTATGAATTTAAAGAATAAGACGATAATAAAAACATGCTAAAATTGATAATATATGAATGAAATATAATATTTCAATAGGGAGGATTCAAGTATAGAGAAAAAGAGCTTGGAATTGGAGTTGAGATAATTAGCTATCATGATGCCGCACAATATAGCAATTGTGATTACTAAGACTATCAAATATGCTTGAAGTTGTGATACCTCTACGAGGGAATTAGAATTAGGACTATCAAAATTGGGTAATGAGACGAGTTCGAGTTCAATCTTGAACTGTTCGACCCAACCCAAACTGACCCATTTTTGTAAAATGATTGGTTTTTTGAACTCGAACCCGACCCGCTTCGGGTATGTTGTACTAAATTTTTTTATTTAATTCGATTTATTTAAAATAAATCGAATTAATGTAAAATTTACTTCAATCAATTTATAATAAACCAAACTTAATTCAGTTTGAGCAACATGCTTTATTATTTTTTGGAAATATCATTTACTTCTGTCATAACAATTTTTAAAATCTCCCCTAAATCAATTAATACGAGTCAAATTGGATTGATTTTGAGTTTTCGGGTCACTCTGAACTCAACCCGATTTTACAAATGAGTCGAAATTCCTAACCAGAACCCGACCAATTGACCCAAACCTAAAATTTTTAGATCAATTAGAATTCTTTCCTACCATCACAACTTCAATTGAAAAAAAAATGATATTAGCGATTTATAGAGGTAAAAGTGCGGATCGAGCCGTGGATCATTTGTTAAGATGAAAATGATCTTCTTTTGAGATCTGCGCTCAAATTGCTTTAAAACTTTATGCAAGCTGTAATTGCCCAAACCCAAAATTTTATCTTCTTTTTCATTTGAAGATTTGGAAAACTACAATTTTCTTTTTATCAATAAATTTGTTATTTTTCATATTTTTCTCTATACACTGCATTTAGATTCGTCATTGAAGCTTTCACCGATATTCCTCTTCCTATTCTACCAAATTCCTGTCAAATCTACGGCATCTCGATTTATGCATCATCAAATTTGCCTCCGCTTGATCGGAGAACACCGCTTCTAATCATCTCGCGGATCTCGCCGGAAAGACGACCTTCCATTTTCATCAAATCTCGCCGCAGATAATGTCCCAAATCTCGCCACAATCCGCTTCGCTGACGCTTCTAATGTCCGATCCGGTATTCGTTTGCCACCGTCCAGATCCATCGAAGAAAACACAAATCTCATCTCAAGAGATCCACTGCAGCTCATCCCAACCCCAAGTCGCAAGCCAACCACCACGCCAAGGTCCCTGCCCGGACCACCATCCACATCACCATGAACTCTGTTTGGGCAGATCTGGCATCTACGTACTGGATCCGCCCAACACAACCGTCGTATGTCTCAATCCATCCAAATCCGACCACGAATTCATATCGCCGACCCAGATTTGGGCATTCCATTTTCTGCCTTGCCGCTTCCATTGTTCTTAGATATGTCGGCCTTGTCATTCAACCGCCTCCAATCAACCCAAGCTTGCAGGCGCCGACAATGGTAGCCCCCACCAATCTTTTTTTTTGGGAAAATTAGGGGCAAGACGCCCATTCATTGCTAAAAGGAAGTTACAGTAAGTAAATAAAAACTATAATCCAATAAACTCAAACAACAAAAAGAGTTTATGGATTCTAAAGAAAAAATACAAGTATGCAAACTAAAGAAAGAGGCAAAGGCCTAGGACTCAGTAAAGCTCATATACACGTAAGGGTCAAAAATACTCGTCAGGGTCAAAAATATGAGCAGAACCTCTGGTTGCCAAAAAGGCCGTCCAAGAGGTTGCTGGAGAATTCCAGCGATCATCATTGTCCAACAAAAGCTATTTCCACATGTAAGCACCAATCTGAACCTGCAGAAAAACAGACCAGCAAAACATAGCCAACACCGAAGAGTATCCAGCAGCCATAAAAGAAACAGGTTCAATTCCATCTTGTCGACTTAAGAAGCAGGGCTTTTCTGATTTTAGTTCTAATAGTGGCCTGACTATCAATAATTCCTCCAAATAATCTATCATTTCTTGCTCTCCAAATAAAGTAAATGGTTGCAGCAACAGTGAGAAGGCAATGATTTCTTTCCTTAGCGTTATAATTTCGATCCCAAATACCCTCATAAACTTGGTGAAAATTGGGCCTCATAAGCTGCTGATGAAGCCAGGGAAAAAGACTTTTAACAATGTTAAAAGTATAAGAACATTCAAAGTATAAGTGGGTAATAGTCTCTCTATCAGAATGGCAGAAACAGCAGATATTAGAAACCTGAATACCCCTAGCTGCAAGCACCTCAGCAGTTTTTAATCCACCACGAAAAACCAGCCAAACATAAGCAGCATAACGAAGAGACCCCCTTTTGTGCCAAATATGTTTAAACCAAGCCACATTTTCCATATGAGAGAAATAAAGTTCAGTAAAATCACTAAATTTAGGGTGTTGCTTATCCACCCAGAAGTGATTTTCAACTTGGGATTCAATAATCACAGACTTAATAAGAGATTGCAAATTATTGTCCAAACAGCTAGGAGTGTTCCAGTTACCATTATGAATGAAGTAGGCAACAATTTTATCAGATAACAGAGGCATCAAGGATTTACGAGTGGAGTTGCTCAGTAAATCAGCCACCGAATTACCTCCACACCACGGGTCCCAAAAAAACGAGAGGTTGCTTTCGGGATGAATGGAGAAAGAAATGCAATTTTTTATCTCCCTAGCCTTAGTGCTATAACGACCCCAAGATCCGTGTAGCGAAAAGATTCATCTGATCGATCATTCATTTTTTTTTTCTTTCTTTTTCAGTTTCTATCGGTTTCCTCATCTATCCATCCATACATATATCCAGAGCCAGAGATAATTTCATTACAGAAAAGAAACAGCAGCGGATACTATAATTCACATATAGTACAACAGAGTACAGACAAAAAGCGTCCAAAAGAAATATCTACACTAGCCACACAGGCTACAAAAGAAAGCCTACCAAAG